ATGCTAACTCTTTCGCTCATTGTATCCTGCCAAAAAAAAAAATACAATAAACAAAATCAGTTTTACAGTTTTACTAATTTTACCAGTTCCAGTACTACTTGGTTTTACCAGTTTTACCATTTATGCGAGTTGTGCCAGTACTACCAGTTTTACTAGTTATACTATATTTACCTGAGTGCCTAGTTTTACTAGTTCTACTCTAAATCGAATTTCGATTTCGGGTTCTAAACTCTGCAATTCAAGACGAATCTGGGTCTAAAAGTCATTCTAATCAACTAAATAGCTCAATCAACCAAGAACCCATGCTCAAACATCCAATGTGCTAAGGATTTATCTTCTCAACCAAAATCCAATCAAATTTCAAAAATCTAGTTCTATATGAAGCTTATAGTTGAAGAATGTACCTGCATTTTGGAGCTTTGTACAGCTCAAAAGAGAAGAAGAAACGCAGGGCCTCCGACGTCGCCGGAATCGACAGCTCCGGCACCAAAAACGGACCACGACGGAGGAGGAGGCGGAGAAGAGCTCTGAGCTCGGGTTCGTCGTTCGTGGGTTCGATTTTTTTTTTTTTTGTTTATTTTTTTTCTTAATTAAAGTAAATAAAAGAAAAACAAAAAGAAAATAAGGAGGAGGGGTAGTTTGGGGATGACACATTATCATTAATGAAGGAGGGGTAGAGAGATTAAAAAGGGAGATAGTGGAATAAAAATTAGAAAAAAGGGCATGGGAGATGTTTTCTACCTCTCTTCTTCTTATATTTGTTACGTAAAACGACGCGTTTTGGTGGTTGGTATTTAATGTTACTTTTATGAAACATATAAAGTATAAACCGAACTAAACCGAACTAAAAGATTTTGATTAACGGTTCAATTGCGTTCGGTTCGGAACTGTCAAACGATATTATCGAAAGTATCTACATCTACATCTTATTACAGTAAAACCTCTATAAATTAATACTCGATAAATTAATAATCTCTATAAATTAATAAATTTCTCCGGTCCCAACTTGTTACCAGTGTAATTTTAGACATATTTCGATAAAATAATAAGATA